AGTAGGTCTTAACATCAAAACAATAACATACACATCTATAATCCTATATATGCCCAGTCACCTGCCTGGAATGGACATGGCAGCAATCAGTCAGCCCTAGCATGCCCATACCCATCCTAAGCATGACATCACCCCTGTTCGCCACTGTCCCCATCACCTGCTGCTCCCTGGGTGGTCACCACAGGGGCTTTCTGCCCCTACTCCACCTTCCTTTTGCATCATGCATCTTTTTAAAAAAATCTCAGTAATCTACAGACTTCTGGTGTCTACTGCTTCAGACTGCAAGTGGAGGTTGACATATTTAGATACTCTACTAAAAGGGGAAAAAAGCTGCTTTAGTGTAGCAAGATAGTGTGCTTATAGTTTCCTGGATGCTATGCTGTTTTTAATAGGAACTTCATTTTTCAAAAATCTGAAGGTGAGTCTTGAGAATCAATCAGCTACCTTCAAAAATCACTTCTTCCATAACTCTTTCTCTCCCTCTGTGCATGTGTGTGAGAGAGAGAGACTAGAAACTATCTTCAGATCACAATCTGAATGTGTGGAGAAAGGAGATAATCATTCCCACTGCTTCAACCCCCAACTTCAGCACATTCTGCTCAATGTAGAAAGGTTCTGTACATGCATATAGCTGTATATGCCTTCCATATGAACATTCAGAGATAGAGGGCAGGCTCATCGAACACCATCTGATTTCCCCTTCCTGTGCCTGCAGTGAATGTAATGAGAACAAGCCATCCCTCTCAAAAATGGAATGCCAGAAAAGCTGGTATAAAAACAGAATGCACAGTGGGTGGAAGAAAACTTTACAACATTGTGCTAATGGAAAATATTAAGGTGTGCCACTGGAGTACAGAACAAACTATGTTGTATAATGTAAGAGGGTCAGACTAAACACATTAAGAGCTACCACCATTCTGTCTCTGAGTACTTTGGCTTCTTTGTAGTTAGTATCTAATACAGTTGAGTGACATGATGTATCACAGTGCATTCTGCCTTAGGTAATGATATGATGTGGAATGTAGATATGGTATCATGTCATCAAGTATTGTTTTTATTGGAGATTACAATAAAGCCCAAGTCAACCACCTCACTCCTGTAATATCTAGTGCAGTTTAAACACACACACACACAAACAAAATTATGTGGCATTCTAATGCCTTCTTAGGGTAAAGTCATATAATATTGAACAATGTTGTACAATTCAAAACATAACGGGGAAATATAAAAAGCAATAAATAAATAAATAAATAAATAAATAAATAAAGAAAGAAAGAAAGAAAGAAAGAAAGAAAGAAAGAAAGAGCCGGTGTGGCGTAGTGGTTAAGAGCGTGGAACTGGGACTAAGAGGACCTGGGTTCTAGTCCCCGCTCAGCCATGGTGCCAATTGGGTGACTTTGGGCCAGTCACAGACTCTCAGCCCAACCTACCTCACAGGGTTGTTGTTGTGGGGATAAGATGGAGGAGGAGATGTAAGCTGCCTTGAGCCCTTTGTAGGAAAAAGGCAGGATATAAATCCATAAATAAATAAATAAAAATAAAAATAAATAAATACAAAGCCTGTTCTACTGCACAAAATTTTTGATCTAATTAGGGATTAGCTCTAAAACTTGTGAAACAAGTGTGCTTTGGAGTATGTGCTAAGTGTTTGCTTGCCCCTGTTGAATGACCACAACTCTCATCTATTTTGGATTGTATGGAGAAATGTTGCTGGAATTAAGGATGTGATTTCAAGCTGGACCCCACTTCCTTTCCTTTTAAACGGCTGAGAAGTACTAGAGGATGGTACTATATATATACCTAAAGATTAAAGCAGCACACCCAAAATAAGTTAACACCTAGAATAACCGTTCCCAATATGATATGCCATAGATATGTTCACCTATAGCTCTCATAGGATTATGGGAGTTATCCAAGAAACTGAGAAAGCACCAGGTTGGTAAAAACGGCTGGGCTTGTTCGGGCATTATGGGAATTGTAATCCAACATTTCTGCAGAACACCATATTGGAAGACTGCTGTACAGGGCATACACACAAGCACTGGTACTAAATTAAGGTTAGGCAACCATAGTTGTTGAACTGTGCACTATGTAGGAATTCCTTTGTTCCAAATTCCTTTCGTTGGGCCTGCAGCGAACGGCGAAAACACGCTGCCGCCTAAAATCCCGCACTGTTTCTTACGGGTAGCGGTCTTTCGTCGAGCAGAGGGACGGAGAAAAGCTACTTCACAATTAAACAGGAAACCCTGTCGCCACAGAATGGGCCGCAACAGGATCGAAATGGTACAGATTAACGATCTATTATGGTAACCCCAATACAACACGGAAAGTTCTTTCTTCCAGTCTTCATCAGCCTCCTCGCTCTGTCCAGGAAGCACTAGGCGATGGGCAAGCGAACTCCGGACTCTAATTGGTGCTGCACTCATGGAGAACCACTTCCGCCGGAAAGGCCTATGCGCGCTGGGTCCCCCGGTGTGGTTAGACCCGCTCGTGTGGAGCTTCCTTTGAGAAGTGGCTGCGGGGTTAGCATGTTGCGTGAGGCGGCGCGGAGTCTGGTGGCAGCGGAGCTGCTGCTGGTTCTGCGGGGGGAAGACGAAAGCTGCGCCGATGTTATCCTCTGCTTGTGCAGCCGGGCCTTCGTAGAGTGAGTCCTGGAGGGCAGGGCACGGCGCTTGCGGTTGGCATGGGTGGGAACGATTTGCATGTTGGCTGTGGCATCTCTCGGGGCCAGATTATACCTTATTTTAAATAGTGTAATCCGGTGCCTGCGTATTTAGAAATAAAGCCCTTGAGGTCAAACGCAGGGAAGTGTTTATATGATGACATCCTAAATCTCACACTGGGATTGCTACACGGGCCGATCCGGATGGAGACTAGTGGAAGTAGGGAGGCTTTTAAAATCTGCATCGACGCCCCTACCTGCCTATTCTAGAATAAAAATAAAAAACCATAGATTTACTAGTCCCAGATTTACAGTAATGCTCTGTTTTGTCCTCCTTTGCATACTTACTGGAGGAGAGCACCTGTGACTTCGGTGATAATGATAGCAAAGGAAGCAGACCAGGATTTAAGCCGCAATTGATACACTACTTTTAGGGAGCACTTGTGTACTAGCTGTGACCTATTGATTTCAATGAGAACTGTGTTCAAGTAACTTAAGGCTACTGGTGATCTAAGGGGTTTTTTAGTTTTGTTTTGTTTTAGATTTTGTTTTGGTTTTGTTTTGCTAGCCAGCTGTGAGGTAAAAAGCTGGATGTTCCTCCTACTTAGTAAAGAAAATGCTGGAGAAAGCTGATTATTTGGAGCTTAGTTTTTAGGGTACTGTAAGGCTTTAGAGATGAGTTTGTAAACTGAAGTATATAATTGCAGAATATAATCGTCGCATGGCTAACAGAGCATTATACAGAGAGCCAGTGTGGTGTGGTGGTTAAGAGCCTGGGACTGGGACTCATAGGATCTGGGTTCCAGTCCCCGCTCAGCCATGGAGCCAACTGGGTGACTTTGGACCAGTCACAGACTCTCAGCCCAACCTACCTCACAGGGTTGTTGTTGTGGGGATAAGATGGTGGAGGATAGATGATGTAAGCTGCCTTGGGTCCTTTGTAGGAAAAAGGCAGGATATAAATCGCAATATAAATATAAATAAATACATGCAGTATCTAGTCCAGCCATCCCTAACCTGATGTCTTCTACATGCATTGGACTATGTCCGGCATGATAAAAGTTCGTGGTATCTGACATATACAGAAAGCACCAGGTTGGGGAAGGCTGGGCCAATGCTTCATTAACTGCAGTGGCTCCCAATCTGTGAATGGGCCCAATCCAGGGTGTTGGTTTTGGCCTTTAAAGTATTTAAGGGTACATGTACTTCACAAGTGCCTGTACCTATTGCCAAGATTCTCACCACAGGCTCTTTTTCACATTTCCTTTGCTATCTGAGCTATAATGGGTGGCTGCCAGGAAGAGTGTACTTTCAGCTGTTCTACTTAGGCTTTGAAATGCTTTCTTTAGAGAGATTTGACTGGCACCCTTTCTTTGCAGTGCCAGGCAAAGACCTTATTTCTTAGGCTTTAAAACTATTGTTAATTGTTTTGTTTGGATGCTGCTCTTATGATATATTTGAAGAACAGAGGGTTAATAAAAAGTAAAATGTTGGGATTGAAGACCACTATTCAGCAGTTGTGACTGATGAACATATTGGTTGTTCTCTTCCTAAGGTAATAGTTTTCACCAGTCATTCTAATATAAGTAGGATAGTTCATGGTGAATTTCTGAGCTAATGTGAGACTGCTTAGAGGATGCCTTTTATAAAAACATTTTCCTAATACTCTGCTTCCATATTTCATTTACGGACTTAAAAATAAGGTGTTTTCTTCCAGGGACCGAGCACTGTACAAACTAGGCCTAAAGGGATATTATTTCAAAGATGTCAATTTAGGTAAGATATGCCTGAAATGTTGAATTAAAATACTGTGCTCTGTAAAATAAATACTTTTTATGCTGTATTATCTTGGCCACATGCTGCTTATATTGTTTGATTTCAAATACGTATTTGCAAAGCCCATGTAAGAGAATATAACAAGATATAAGTAACAGCTCACAGAGAAGCAATGAAGCTGTTGTGAACATGACTACTGGCCCCAATGCCTGGGAATAGCGAGTGTTGCAGTCCAGTGTACTTGAAGGACACCAAGTATTGGAAAGCCTTGTCTAAACTACAAACTTGAAATGATTCAGTTTTTCCTGGTAGGGAAGATGCAGGTAATAATTTTGTTGGCAATTTAGGACTTTTAAGATCAAAATAAACACCATGAAACAAAGTAGTAACCAGTATTGCTATGGATGTTATTTCATATATTCACAATGGTCTTTTTTGACAGCAGATATCTAGAACTTTGCTCAAGTTGATTGAGCACTTTGTTGGTCACATTACAAATATACTATCAATACTCTTGCAAAAACTTGGAATTTTTTCCAGGGAATGGTAGAGGACAGGAGAACCTGGTGTGCTGTGGTCCATTGGGTCACAGAGGGTCGGGCACAGCTTTGTGACTGAACATGACATGACATGATCATATCTTCCTTCAAGCTTCTCAAGGCTAAACATGCTCAGCTCTTTCAACCTCTCCTCATAGGGCTTTGTTTCCAGTCCCTGGATCATCCTTGTTGCCCTTCTCTGAACCCTGTTTAGCTTGAGGCTTTGCTAGAAATAAACATTTTGGGAACTTCGATCTTCAACTAATAATTGATCTAAGCCAATAATTGTATCAATTATTAATTAGAATTGGTACCTTCAGGTGAGCCTCAACTGAAAATTTAATGAATATCTCAAGGGATGTTTTTCTTAATGATAAATTAATTGTTTCTGCTTAGGAATGTAGGCTGTATGTAACAGTCATGTTCTAAATGTATGCTGGAAAATGTTTGCTAAAGGAAAAAATTGCAGTTGCACTTTTTCTACATCAAAGATTTATGACTGACTGAGGCTGGAACTGAAATAAGACTGTAACTTTATATTTTATATGAACAGGGGACGTTCAGATTACTGAGGATGATGAAAATGAGGAGAAATATCACACCTTTAGGAATGCTGACATATCTACGAGTCATGTTTCTGAAATGGAAGATACTGAACTCGATTCAGAGACTGAGCTCATGAAGAGTATGGGCTTACCTGTACAATTTGGTACTGTGACATCCCATAAAGCAGTGGTGGTAAAGCCCAGTTTATTTTCTGTTTTTCTGTGCTAATTTAAATTATTTATATGGCAGAAATGACTAGTTTGTAATAACTAGCAGTATTGGATTGTATGTGTTTTTATTAATCTTGATTTTGAAAAGTCTTGTACATTTTCATTGAGCATTTTTAAAAGTATGACTAGTATTTGAAAATAAGTCTAGAGAATAGATTTTTCTCTGAAACCAGTAAAATGGCTGTCATGCTTTTTCTTTTATGTGGCAACATGCCTTTTCTGGGATGGTTTCAAATCTATGGGTAAAAATGATTAAGATATTGTTTCTGTTGGATAATGGTGAATTTTCAAATATAAACCTCCCTAAAAGGTTTCCAAATACAGGCCAAATTATATATTATTTTGGCATTAACTAAAAAGAAATGAACTTCCATTTGGGAATGCACAGTGTTATAAACCATCTGAAATTTCAGTAAATACTGAAATTCCTATGCTAAAAGTAATAACTTGGCCAGATTCCCAAAGACTTTTTTTTAGAAAGCTTCTCTTCTTCATCCTGGCTCTAAAATTCAGATTAAAGTTAAATTAGGGACTGGCTTTAAAAAAAAGGTGTGTTAAGGAAAAGTTGGAGTGGAAATAAAAAATCAGAATGGGAAATCTTGCTTTGCTGCTGAGCTGAAAACATACAAAATAATATAGCAGAACAGCAGAAATGAATATGGTGATGCATTTGTAATCAACTTAGTTGAGATTTAAACAGTCTATATCGTGTGGCATTAGGAAACTGATCAGCCAGATCAACATGGTAATCCAGAACCTGATGAGTGCTGTATACATATTTGCATGGCTACTCAATTTCCTTTCATGTTGAATTTCAGTCTTCTGAGCATATTGGCAAGAAAGGTAACAAAGTGGTGAAGAAAAAGAAAAAGAAAAGGATGCCACAAAAAGATATTCTTGAAATAATGCAAGAGACTTTGGAAGAGGATCTTGATGATAATTCTCTTTCTGATGATCCATCTTTAACTCAAAAGGAGGTTAAGACTGATGAAAGCTGTGAAAATGCTGACATTCTGCTTGATGACTTTCAGAGGAAAGAAAAATGGGAAAAATACTGGCATGACTATGGGGAAGGACTTCTCTGGCAAGGTTGGCAAGAGAAACACAATCTAAATTTGGAGGTCTTATCGATCGCTGAGCCTTGGAATAATCCTGAAGTGAAGGAAGAATGGGAGCAGCACTATAGTGAACTTTACTGGTATTACTGGGAGCAGTTTCATTATTGGGCAAGTCAAGGTTGGACTGTTGACACAGCACCTAACAGTCACATGGAAACAAAGGCAAGAAAAATGGAAACAAAGCATCCAGAAAAAACACAGATGAGTATTGCTGAGCAGTGTGGAGAAGTGCTGGATTCAAACTTAGATTCTCTTCTCCCTTCCAGTACTGCCTGTGATGAAAATCCTGCCCCAGATGATCTCTGTAATAACAATATTCTTACTGAAATCAGTAAAATAAATCTGAACTCAAAAGGAGCAGAGCAGAGCACATTAGAAAATGTGGTTTATAAAAATGGTCATCAAAGATCAAGTATAACAACAACTGAAAGATGCTGTCCTGGTAATTCTGGTCAGATGGAGGACTCTGATAAAGGAACAAGGGAAAGAAGCATGCCTTCTGAAAATGGGCTTTCAAACCAGCCAGGTCGGTAGGAGGCCTTAGTCAAAAATTCCATTCTCCCTTATCCAGAATAGGTATGATGTAGCCCTATGTTGAGGGAGAAGTTTCCTTTATAGGCAGTATGACTGTGGATGTTTTCTCTTTCCCTTGCAAGTATTTCTTCCCCTACCTAATAATGCTTCAACTTTCACGTAAGAGATGTGTATTGGTGTAGGTAACACACTAAAGGCTCTCTCTTTAAAATTAAGCACTCAACTTCCAGACACTCTGGTCTGCTTTGAGATGCATGAGCATAAAGTACAAATCTTTCTTTTGGCTTAAAGAAATGTGTGTTTGTGATCTGGTCATAGAGATGGCAAATATTAATTTTAAGAAATTGAGTTTAGAAGTTACTACAAGGCTTAGCTATTTCATTTTAATCTGAGGTCTGTGCTTGAAACTTTAGTTGTAAGTGGGAAGAAGGAGGCTGGCTTGTACAGTGTTCTGTCAGTTGAGCATTAAACTTAGGCTGTAAGGTGACACTCAGCCCATCTGGCACTCTGTAACCTTTGGGTTATTTTTCATAGGTAATAACTTTGAATAAATGTTTTCTGTAGACTTTAGTATACACTTGAAGGAAAAACTGAAATCTAATTTGTTACCTAGTAATTTTAACACTTTCAAGCCATAGCTTCCCCATAGCCATAGCTTCCCCAGGAGGAAGGGGGTGTTTTGGTTTAGCGTGGGCCTCAAAGGGCTCAAAATTACTGTAGGAGATCCACAAAGTGTTGAAATAATTCGTGAGAACATGCAAATGATGCAGAATAGATAATGAAAAATGCATGGCATGCATGGAATAAATCTTTTTTCAGATTTTGTGTAAGGAAAAATAGTTTCTAGGGACCCAGGGCTTAATCTTTTAACCACATTTTATACAAGAAACTTTTCTCCATCTAGCCTGCTATCCAAGTGAATGTAAGAATCTGAAAATGTACAATTGGAGTACAATTTCTAGGACCCTAATTTTTTAAAAGAATGATACCTGCACAGTGTTTTCATGAAAAATAATATTTTCATTATTTGGCAACATTAAAAAAACTTTGTCTAATGCGTATAGACAAAACTTAGGAAAACAGTTGACATCGTTATGTAACAAAGTATGAACGCTATTTCAATGAGAGTAAATTGTCCAAATACTGTCCTTGTAATGTGTGAAGCTGTTTACATTTTAACATACCTTTTAGTAAATATTTTCTATTACTAAATAGGAGAAAACCTATTTTAATTTTACTGTTTCAAAATCACATTCTTTTTTTAGAATTTTACTCATTGGAAACATCCTCAATATTAATTGCAGAATTTGAGAATTTTTTCCCACTGGTATATATGGCAGAATTATGAGGCCATTAATTGCAAGGCATCCTAAAAGTATAACTAGAAAACTTGCATTCATAAGAAGCTACATTGAGCCTTCAGTGTTTTATCCATGCAGAGGGAAAGCATTGGAACCCAACTCATTTAACTGAGATAGCTGCTCTCTTGAGCTGACTTTGTGCTTTGGCTCAGATCCAGGGTGGGTCTTTCCTTCATTTTTCTCAGATAATTTACCCACAGATGGGATATGTGACAGCCCACTTTTCCCTTCAGTGAAAAAATTACCATTTCTTGTAAGGCATTTCATCAAGGTTGAGGTGTCAGCAGCACATAGTTGAGTGGCAAGGCAACAGGGAACTTGGTTTTCCAACCAACTGAAGTCTTAAGAATAGTGCACTTGAATCTGTTCAAGGCTCTGGTGTTTAAGACTCAGAATTGGCCAACAGGAATTGGGGTGGCCTACACTTATACACCAGAATTAAGTTACTTGGGAGAAGGCTTCCAAATTTCTTTCTGATAGTTTCACTATTTAAATACATTGTGGCACAACCCTCATTTTCTATTTTAGCTTCACATGGGTCATCTAGAGCATACTTGGATGCTACAGGAGGTGGAGGGTCACACAATGACAGTGATGATGATGATGATGATGATGAGCAGCCACCTGAACATAAACATACCAAGTTAAAAAGGAGGCAAGTTATCAGTCACGACATTCTTCCCTTTGTTTTTGGCATTCTTTAGCCTTCTTGAGCACTGTAGTATTGTCTTTAACATGCAGTTACTGTTTTCATACGCTGTTTTGCTAGTAATTTAGAGTGTTCAGCGAGCTCCACTTTCCCATACTATGTCTATTTTCCCCTATTCAGAACATTTTAATTCTGCAGAGCAGCATTAAAAACCTTTTGTTTACTTTTAACCGGGTGTCCTTCATTGAGTAATGCTTTAACACGTCCTGTATTCAGCAGGGAGTTGAACCCAATGTCTTTATTGGCTCTTTCCAACTCTGCTATTCTAGGATTCCATAATTCATAGAAGTATGCCAGTTGCCTAAGAATAATTGTTAATTGCTTTGGGGGACCAAAGTAGTTACGAGAGTTTCACTGAAAACCTGAATATTACGTTTGAAACATGATTTAGCCAAAACAAATAACAGTTTAGTTGGTCTTGAAGTTGTCTCTACAGATTCGACAAGTTTCTTATACTATGTAGCTCATTGAAAAAAATGATTGACCCTTAATTCAGAACAAAACTGGCAATGAAGATGTATCTTTTTCTCATCTTGTTATCAATTGTGACAAATGTTTGTCAGGTTTTACTGTATAGAAATGATGCTGTACTTTACTTTGTTTTATTGTAAAACCGTCCTGAGACTATTGGGTAAGATAAAAGATATGAATGAATGAATGAATGAATGAATGAATATTGTAATTTCTTTCAAGTCATGAACTCGATGCTGAAGAATACCCTCAGACTGATCCAGAAGAAATTTGTTGTCTTCTGGGACTCAAGCATGGCACAGGACAAAAGTACTAAGTATATTCATGTTTTCCTTTGTTTCCCTTAGAAAGTAGAACAGTTTGCATGATTGCAGGTCAGAATATAAGCCACAGTGCTTTATTTCCCTTGCTGTGCATGCCAAGAGAATTAGCATAATTACCTTGGCATGCCCTGTTGTGCAAATCAGCCTGGATGGACATTTATCTAGAATAGCCTATGGGCAATGTAGTTCACAGCAGTATCACCCTTGCTGGGTTTACATAGCACAACAAGGCACACTTGAGATTAATTATGCACATGATGCAATGTAAGTTACGTTAGTGATTACAACCTGTTGGATACTGCCTAGTGTGTCTAAAAGTGAAAGTGATTGTTGGGAGAAACCAGGCCTTTTTACCTGACACTTAGCATGTTTACTTGGCATAATTTAAAGGAGGCTTCCATGTATAAATGGTACTGCTGAAAAATACACCGAGAGTAATTTTTTTCTCTCCCGAGTATAGGTCATCTTTCCAAATATATGTTAGACACGCCCCTCCAGTTAAGATGTAGTTGTTGACTTTAATCCATTATTCCCTAGATATGGAGGGATCTCTGGCTTCAGTGAACGAAAAGTGACTCATCTCAACAAAAACATGAAATCTAAATCAAAGTTCTTGGACATGCGGAGAACAATTGAGACTAAAAACAAGCATATATTTTTTACTGATGAACCTGAAGTAGTGGTGGTAAAGAAGAGCAAGACTTTGAAAAAGGTAGATATTTCTTGTGTATTACTAGGGCATGGTGGACAAAGTGGGTTTCTTTGCTAGGCAGTTCATTATAGCACAATGTGTAGGGAGTACCCTGGTTACGGAATGAATTCCATTCTTAAGAAAATGAAAATTCCTCTTTAAGTCGAATTTGTATGTAAGTCAGATCATGTTGGCCCTCCACAATCATGGGGTTTAGGGGCACAGGACCCTCACAAAAGTAGGAAAACTATGGATATATTTACCCCCCAACTCACCACTGCCCCCTTTTTGCAGCAAGGAAATGCTAGAAAGATTTTTCCCTCCGGATGGGTGTGACAGGAAGGCAGGAGGTCTCCTCCTCTTCCCTTTTGCTTCCTTTCTTTCTCTGTGGTGATGACAATTTTCCACAGGAATTTTTTAAAAAATTAATAGACTTTATGGCAATCTGTTCACAAGTACAGGTTGTTCATAACTTAGACATTCATTCCAGCTACTACCATTCAAAATGTAAAAATGTAAGAAACGTGCTTATATGCTGGTTTTCAAACTTAGCACTGGATTGTGTCCACAATCTAGAATTTATAGTCTCTAGGAAGAAGGATAAACTGGCACAACTCTATCTGCTCTTTTGTATTTTCTTATATCCAGTGCTTTTTTGTAAGAAAAAAGGTGCCAGAACTCATGAAATTATTTACCTTTCTCATGTAGTCAATCACTGTACACACCCACAAACGTCAGTAGTGTAACGAAACATAACGGTTGCCGCCCACAGTAAGCACTCAGCACATGACCAATCACAAGCCAAGCAGTGCCACAAGCCAAGCAGAGCCATCACAACCAGTGCGGACAAAGTACGCATGCATCAGATTCGACACACAAGCAGCCCGCATGCACCATTTTAATGATTTTGCCGCCAACCTGCTACACTCGACAGGGCGATTCAAATCCACGTGGACCAAACATCAAATTTTCAAAAGTTACTTTTAAAACTTGGAAAACCTGTCGGAAAAAGGTGCCGGGACTCCGTTCCAGTGCGTTCTATGACAAAAAAAAGCACTGCTTATATCTAAAACAAAAAGTATGCTGCCTTTCTAGTGTCAATGCACTTCTGTAGACAGTGAACAAAATGAGTACACAAATTCTGAATCCAGAATAGAAAATACATGCGCAGGGTGTAATGGAGGCATTGGATAAAGCATATCCAGCTAACAAAGCAAACACCTGTCCAAACTAGTTTTTTTTTTTTTTTTGGCGGGGGGAGGATACAACTTGAGTCTGCTGTGGAGGAAAAAGTTCTCTAGGTAATGCCAGAGAGAAGGCACTGTTTTACTTTAGGTAGTCTGCTCTAGTCGCCAGTGCTTCTAGTTCTACACAAGTGCAAAGCTGAAGAATTATGTGATATTTATCCTTGACAAGTATATGTTAGGAGTTGCATTCAGTGTTTAAGAATGATACAGTGATGAAGCTCCTCTGGAATTCTTCAGACATAGGCAAGTGCAGGAGTATTTACAGAAAACCCTAAGGGTGGAAGAACGCTAAATCATTCTGATGAGGATGGAGTATGCTCAGCAGCCACAGAGTACTGAATGTTGAATGGGTGGACAGACTGTGGTGTGGGAATGGACTGGACAGTAGTAGCTGGAATCCTAATGTCTGTGCCCTATATTGCAACATTCTGTTGAAAGTTTCACTTACAGATATATAACAGATACCCCTGATAGATAATGTCAAGGTATTCTAATGTAGTATGCTATATGAGGACTATATTAGTGATCCTCATTATGTTTTGGTTGGTTTATAGATATGTACGAGTACATAGTGAAAGAAACTGCAGTATATGCACCCAAGAGCCAGTTGACAAGACATATAGTTGCCTTCTCTATGTACCTCAAGGTTTGATTTTATCATAAGATCATGAATTAACATTTAAATAATTTGGACATAACAAACTATAGTAACAATACAGGGACATATAGGAAGGGGCCTTCATATGAATTTGGTAGGGGATGCATCCATAAGCCCCTGGAGTGTTGCTGGGTGTCAAAACATTGTTTGTGTTGATAGTGTACTTTTGCTAACAAAATCTGTTGTTGTTTTTTTAATTTAGCAACAAGAGTATCTGTTCAGTTTTAAGATAAATTACTGTTGAGTAAATTGTATTTTTGCAATTTGTGGTATTTCTAGGTAGAAAAGTTCTTGGAAGAAGTAAATAAACTCACGGAAGAGAGTTCTCAAGTCAGTGTTCATCACACAAGTAGTGATTTGGAGGAAGAGGAAGATCATGCTGACTCACAAAATAATTTGAATCTCCAGAACAATGACTGTTTGTCCCCTGAGTCAGATTCTGGCAAGCTTGAAAGAAAGAGCATTAAGAAAAGTGGCAAGGAAAAAGTGGTAATAACAGCAAGTGACTATAACACTCAGGACCCTAGTGAAGAGGCAGGAAGACAAGAAGAATGTCCTTTAGGAAGAGAGCTAGTTGCCCTGGATATTCCAGACTACCTGCAGATGGAAACAGAAGGTGTGGGATAATTCTGAATAATGTTTTTAAGTTTGTGTATAGTAATAATACAATATTCTAAAAAAAAAAAAAACCCATCCCAGCTGTCCCATAAGCATAGCTACGGTTTACTCACTTTGCTGAGACGGTGCACTGGGGAAATACCAATTGGGAAGTTTAAAAAAAAAACTTTATGTGGGTGGGCTGCAGAGTGTATTTGACAATGACTCCATGTGGCAAGATCTACAGAGCCTGGAAAGTACCACTCACTGAGAAGGTAGATATTCTTGTTATCATCATCGTCGCTATACTGCCTGTAGCCGAAGCTCTCTGCGCAGTTTACAGCAATAATCATAGAATCATACACTCAAGTCACCCGTCGAGATCCTAACCAGTCCTGACCTGCTTAGCTTCAAGATTAGGTAGGATCAGCCACCTCAGGCTATAGAGAAGCTATATATTGGGGAGGGAATGCTGTTCTAGCAGTGGTGTTTGCAGTGCTGGGATAGTAACCCTAAAGCAGCTGGGATCATTGCTTCCTCACCACTATCACTGGAGGGCATGCATCAGTCCTCACAATTTAGGTCACTGTGGGCTTCTGGAGAATGTGCTTCAGTTCATTAGTGTTCATCTACTCCATTTCTGTGGAGGTAGTGTCAGATTTTATTTTCCTGGGTTCCAAGATCACCGCAGACGGGGACTGCAGCCAAGAAATTACAAGACGCTTGTTCCTGGGGAGGAAAGCTATGGCAAATCTAGACAGCATACTAAAAAGCAGAGACATCACCCTGCCAACAAAAGTGCTTATAGTCAAGTCTATGGTTGCAGTGTATGGCTGTGAAAGCTGGACCATAAGGAAGGCTGAGCACCAAAGGATCGAGGCCTTTGAATTGTGGTGCTGGAGGAGACTCCTGTGAGTCCCTTGGACCGCAAGGTGATCAAACCGGTCAGTCCTAGAGGAGATCAACCCTGACTGCTCTTTAGAAGGCCAGATAGTAAAGATGAAACTCCAAATACTTTGGCCACCTAATGAGAAGGAAGGACTCCCTGGAGAAGAGCCTAATGCTGGGAACAATAGATGGCAAAAGAAGAAGGGGACGGCAGAGAATGAGGTGGCTAGATGGAGTCACTGAAGCAGTTGGTGTGAGCTTGAGTGGGCTCTGGGGGCTGGTGGAAGACAGGAAGGCCTGGAGGAATGTTGTCCATGGGGTCGCGATGGGTCGGACACGACTTCACGACTAACAACAACTCCATTTCTGAGACCAGGCACCAGCTTTACACCTCCACTATCTCATCTCATGTGAGTTTAGTGAGAAAAAGAAACTGCCCTTGATTTCATCCATATCCTGATAACATTGTACTCCAGGTCCCTGGGTAATCTTATTCAATGATTTCATGCAGTTGTTAAGCAGCATGAGAGATAAGAGAGAATCCTAAAGTATAAGTGGCAGAGGGTCGGCAGATACTCCCTAGAATTGCCTTCCGGAAGCCGTTGTTGTAGTGTCCACTCTTGCCCGCATTAGTCAAATTGGTCAGTTGCATTAAAAGCTGTTGAGAGATCCAAGACAATCAATCTGGTGCATTCCCTTGTCTTTCCTAGCAAAAATCATACTATGACTAAGGCACTTACACTGCTAAAATGAGTTCAAAATCCCTGAATGAAATTGATCTAGAAAATCAATTTTATTATATGAGTTGACATTCACAGAAAGTTAGAGGAAATACAACAGTATTCGACACATTTTTGTGCAGGTAGTTTTCAGTTCAAATTTTCTGTGTGGATTTCTTCATTCTTTTAAATTTCTGAGTTGGGAGGTCTTCTTTGGGAAAGCTGATATTGTTTTGTGTATTTTTTCATGCTGATTTTTGTTGATATGTCTTTTTTCATCTTATTTGTTTCCTTCTATGTTCTGATACATTTTCTCCAGCGAATAAATGTTGTGTCCATTTATGTTTGATGGGTACAATTGTTGCAACAATACAGCATTGCTGGAGCTTCTGTATTTTCTCAATGCTATGCCATCTGCTGAATTAAGTGATAAAAGTTTCAGTGAATTTGTGTGTTCTTGATGGTGTTCTTTGAGCCATTCAAGAGAAATGAGCTAACTGTGCAGTGTGGTTTTCCTGGTGCAGGTGAAGTAAATGCTACAGGAAAGAAGAAAAAGAAAAGGTTGCAGAAGAAGAAAAATAGAAGTGTGCGATCCCTACCCCCTGAAATAGCCAGTGATCCTGAACTGGCCAAATATTGGGCACAGCGGTATAGATTGTTCTCTCGATTCGATGAGGGGATTCAGTTAGACAGAGGTAAACTCTTACATACAGCCAAACTTGTGGACTGTAATCTACCATAATTTGAAGTTTTGTGATGATTCACTCGTAAATTGCTGCTGTCGTTGCAAACAGACCTGATCTGTTTGTCCCAAACATGCCCGGGCTTGTAAGGCAACAGACCCAGAGTTCCTTGATTTGTTTGACAGCAACAAATCAGAAATTGGATTCTGATGACACAATACTCCATCTTGGTTAGTTTTACCCACTCGTGTAAAGGGCAGAACAAACTTGTTTCTCATTCACAGTAAGCCAAAAATGCCTGATCTTGTGATGAGCCAACATGGCCTCACATTCCTGGACTATAGGAAAGAGGATTTGGAAATAGATTGGCCTTCAGTTTTATCCAGTGGGGTAGTTTGTATGTTCCTAAATTGTATAAGTCAGCAAGCCATGAAATGCAATATAGTACAGATACTGTATATCCATATTTGTCTTTTTAAGATTCAGAAATGTGATAATTGTTCTCTCTTTATCAGAGGGGTGGTTTTCTGTTACTCCTGAGAAGATTGCAGAACACATTGCAGAGCGTGTAAAGCAGTCCTTCAAATATGACATAATAGTAGATGCATTCTGTGGAGTGGGGGGCAATGCTATTCAGTTTGCTTTGGCATCAAAAAGAGGTAAATATCCACCCCAATTGCTTCTCTTCATGTCTGTGTGTACATTAATTCCATTTGCCACATACTGAATATTTTTTGTGATTGCTCTAGTTAAAAGCATTTCTTACTCAGTTTAATTTGTTTGAAAAATTAAATCATGCTAAAAAAAACCTTCATGTTTTACTGAATATGGTGACTAAACAGGGAAAATACAAAAGGTTTTGTTTCAAGTAAGCAATTTGTTGCTTGTCTAGTGCTAGTACTAATGTTGGTATACAGTAAAATCTGTATCTGCTGTTACAGTTCCCGCAACTTCACTTAACTGTGGTTGAGCATTGTCTGAAAAAATTAAATAATGTCAGCTCTCCACGTTCATGGGGGTTGGGGTCACAGGACCCCTGCAAAAGTGGAAAAAACACGAATATCTCTAGGAACTTCCCCAAACTCACCAGCACCTCTTCTTTGCACCAAGGAAATGGCAGAGAGATCTCCCTCTCTGAATGGGTGGGGCAGGAAAGTAAACTCAAACTTCAGAGTTTAACTTTCATAGATTTGATGATTTGTGAGTTTGCCATCAATTAGTGAATGGGATTTTTTTTTTTTTTTTTGCAGCTTATGGCCTGCTTCAGAAAATTGTCTCCACCATAGAGAGAAAGGAAGCGAAAGAGGGGAGAGGGAGGGCCTCCCAAAGCATGCTTTCTTGCCCTGCCCATCCAGAGAGGGAAATCTCTCCAGCATTTCCTTGGTGCAGAGAGGAGGCACTGGTGAGTTGTGGGGGTGGGTAGAGACATTCACAGAGTTTCCAATTTTGCGAGAGTCCTTTGCCCCAGTCCTGACAAATATGGACTGTAAAGTGTTCACTGCTATCCACAATTTTAGGTATCCACTGTGGGGCTTGGATCTTATCCCCTGGGTATATGGGTGTCCTACTGTATGTTTCCATATGCTTCTAAATTTATATAACATAACTGACCTAAGATTTGTAATTGTTTAATAATTGTGTAATTGCATAATTATTTGTCATTTTTAGTAATTGCAATTGATATTGACCCTGTGAAGATCAGTCTTGCTCACAACAATGCAAAAGTGTATGGCGTGGCAGACCAAATAGAATTCCTGTGTGGAGACTTCATGAAGCTAGCATCCACTTTAAAAGCAGATGTTGTGTTTCTGAGTCCTCCATGGGGTGGGCCTGAATACACTGCTGCGGAAACCTTCGATATTCAAACTATGATTTCTCCTGATGGATATCCTTTTTTCCAAGTCACTTTGTCATAGCCATTTCTGTAGTGCTAATAGTATTCTTCTCATGAGAGGTGAAGCATTGTATATGATAATATTTGAAGATTTTTTGAATAATTGTTTCAAGACCACAGGTTCACTATTCCTTAATCTGGAATTTCAGGATGCTCAGAAATTCCCTAAACTGTAATAATGGGTTTCCTGCTGTCATTGTTACAGAAAGTCTAAAGCATATTTGTTTTATCTTCAAGACGTGTTGTGGCCTAGCACCCTCAGCCACCCCAAAGCAGTGTCAGGGTCTGTTGCAGTTGTTCCCACGTGTACGGGCTGATACCACCTAGAGTAAAACCAACCCAGTTTCTTCAGTTTTGAAATATTTTTGGTCTCTTGGGAAATACTGGCCCAGGATATCTGTGAGGTCTCTTAACTGGGGCAGGTTGGGACAATATTTTATGTAAATTAATAATCCACTCCAGATTATTTTTGTGAGTTCTTCTAGGGTGACTTTGCACATATACCCACAATACTGCAAACAGTAATTCCCATGTATTCCACATATACATGGCACAATCTTAAGGGTAAGTGTTTTAGGGTTAGACCAATTAACTATATGGGATACTTGAGGAAAAATAGATCTGCTTCTGAAGAAAAATGCATAGAAAGCTGCCATATACTGAGTCAGATCATTGATCCATCTGGACACTGGCTGGCTGCAGTTCTCCAGGGGTTCAGGCAGGATTCTTTTGGTGGCCCTGATGGAGGTGTCCCAGATTGAACTCAGCATGTGGAATACTAAGCTACAGCACTTAGGTTCTGATCAACACATGTAGCAAAGTAATTGGGAATGGGATTGTAGAGCTCTGAAGTAGTAACAGTATATTTCAGACTGTAAGTCAGGTGGAATTTCCCTTTGCTATACCCCAGAAAACAACCACGAATATGGAAAATTGGTATAGTAAGGAGGGTTGACCTCTAGACTTTTTACTCTGATGTACAAGTATTTTATTTCTGTTTGACTTCAGAAATTGTTTTTAATGGATGAACATTCAAACATTGTACGGTGATCCTGCTATGTGATTCTGCTGCATGTATAGATGAGGACTCTGATCAGATTAGTACAAATGAAATTCATTTAACCTGTAGAAGAATGTGTGTTTTAGAGAATTACTTTATTAAAAGGACCATTCCACTTGAAGCAGGATTTACTGTTTTCTCCTTAACACAGCTCTACATTTGAAATTTTCAGGCTGTCACAAAAGATTACCAACAATATTGTGTACTTTCTTCCTCGTAATGCTGACATAGATCAGGTAAGATGCAATTTGCAGGTAGTTAGTGTAATAATTTGTAGTGTGGGATACAAGTTAGGAAGTCACATGTTGTCTCTGCCTGTTTTTCTTAGGAAGGCCCCTCTTCTTAAACTCAGTAGCACCCTCACCACCCAAATGCTTTTTTTAGTTTCTAAAAATGTTTTTTATGAGGGATTTTAAAAAGAAGTTGGAGGTCATTTGATCAACGTTGGAGGTCATTTGAAGATTTAAGAACAGGTAAAAATAACACTCAGTAATGCTGCTGTCATTGATGGCTTTAAAAAGCTGTACTTTTTCATAGAGAATAGAAACATAGAAACGGAGCGAGTCGGAAGGGGTCTCCCGGGCCATCTAGTCTGACCTCCGGCACCAGCCGGCTCCGCTCACGACGTGCCCACCATGTGGACATCCAGCCTATCCTTGAACACCCGCACTCCCAGGAGACTTTCCCCAGTCTGGCCTTCAATTGGCCAAAGTTGGCCCTCTTGAAGTCCCAGCTTCTAGTGCTCGACCTGCTACATGTCCCCAGTCCCCTGATCTCAAAGCAAAGGATGGAGTGGTCACTCGCATCCAGAGCTCCCCTAATCTGTACTTCAGAATAGGTATATCCACAGCTATCAACAATTTTTCAGAAGTAGCATACCTCTAAATCAGTGTGAAAAACCTGTAACCCTCCATCTGAAATTCCCAGAAGGCTTAGCTAACATAGCTAATGGTGAGAAATGATGGAAACTCTAGGACAAAGCTTCTAGAGAGCCACACATTGGTCTTCTCTAGCAACTTGGTTCACACACCTGAGAAGGCTTTTACTATCATGCTTTGCATTCCTGGAAATCGTTGTCTAGCCATTCCAAGATACTGGATTCTGGATCAGATGCGATTAGAAAAAATATTTCTTTTTGCTGTAGAGGTATGTCTACCTTCCTGTGTGGTAAGGCTGCCGTTTAATGTGGCCTGGAATATATCTTTTGTCATGGAATTTCCATTCATAAATAATCATGTGTCTTCTTCAAAGTGCATTCATCACATCAGAAGTCATTCTAAGAGTCTTGCATCATGTGATCATAGTCTTATAATGCTGTACTTGATTGTGCTGCACTTCTTTACAGCATTTGACTTATGCAGTACTACAGATCTTTGATGGGAGTTGCAGCCTGTCACATCTGGAGGGACTGTCCATCAATTTTCCAACAATCCCTCCTTTGAATAGAAGAGACATTGACCTGGTTCATACAACATGACAAGCCATCATAGGTTAATTATGGCAGGTTGTTGTGTGTAGGAGCTCAAATCACCTTCACAGAGCTACTTAGGTTTTTACCAGCAAGCCTTCTGACAACCCATGACTTGCTCTGTGGCTTGTTTGACAAATGAGGGTTTGTCATGTCGTCTGAACTGGGAGAGGAACTTTGTGAAGTTTGCAGGATTGTCTTGCAAGCTGCTTAGCAAGAGTGGCAACACCTCCTGCTTCTCTTTGTGATCTTACCTGTCCCAGCACTACTGGCAACCCCTCCACTGATGCCCAAGGGGCACCTTTGGGTGACCACTGTTTTATCCACCCTTTTTGTTTTTCAGCTGCAGAAAATTGCATGTGTAATTGTGTTTATATTTTTTTTAATTAGTTCTTTGGCAAGTAGCCTCTTAGTATTGTCTGATACGAATAGTCTCACTTGGTCACTTTGCTGCTTGTTTGTTTCAGCTGCAAAGTGAAGTAAATAACATACAAGGAAACTGTCATGGCAAGATTTACCCAGAGTTACTAGGAACCAATTGCCGATCAATTGAAAAGCACCAGTAAAGGGAGAAAACATGGATACAGCAAAAGTATGGGAGACACAGTATCTTCCCCCATCCCAACTTTGTGATCCTCTGGCTTTTCAGTGTTGAAGTGATACTTCTCAGTATCTCCAACTTTTTGGCACTTCAAGTCACCAGCTGCACCAGAAAATACAGATATTAATTCCCCTCCCTGCTTTCAGAAGACTTAATGCATCATTACTTCAAGGAACACACATTTTGTGTCCAGTTTAGCCCTTAAATTTGCAGATACTTCTGTTTGGTTTTTATAACTGTCAGAGACCTGCAGTAACTGCAGCAGTATCTTCTCTAAAAAGTGGAACTGGAAGTTAATATCTCCCTTTCCACAGTAACTGGAAAATGGAGGAAGTATTGAGAAGGTAAAGGGCACCAAGAAGTGTCAGTTCAGCACTTAAAAGCTGGAGGATTATACTCACGAGGAGATACTGCTCTCCTCCTTTTTTGGTGTGTACCTTCTTTTGCCTCTTTCCCTTTCCAGTGCTTTTCAGTTGACAGTCAGGTAATTTGACCCTAGCAACTGTGTGCATATTAGCCTGTGTGTCATCTTGCAGTGTCATTTTGCATTCCTTTTGACAGATGAAAAAGATAGGGAAATTGACCAGAGAAATGTTCACATGCCAGGTAGCTACAAGTGAAAGACTGACAGATACAGTAATAATTAAAGATACAAATATAGTTGCATGGTGTTCTTGGAGTGAATTAAAGAACATACAACCCCAACTGTACTTATGTGAGGCTGCAAAAAAGAAAATAAAAACTGGTTGCAAATAAAAATGGGGGCTGATCAGAGGGGGAGCAGTTGATAAGATGTATTCTGCCATAAGGAGCACTGGAGCAACTGTTGGAGCTGGAGGACCGAGGGGGAAGGAAGGGGAGAGCAAGCCAGTCATTTGTTAGGTCTGCCATGAGTTGTTCCAAAAGCAACCCAATTACCATATTCACAGGTTAGCAGGCTTGTGAATGCAGCTGTTACATTTTCATTTTGGTTATGCTCTTGACATGGCTATACATATAATAATAAGTTCCTTGAGGCCTGTCCATTTAATAAATAATCATCACCTGCACTAAAATGTTGTGACTTTGTGTATAGAATTAGATTGTGTGTTAGAGGCAGGATTGATGAGACTTGAATATATTGGTTTCTTTTTCCTCTAGAGGGAGCAGTCCTACCAAAAACACACAGTGTAAGAAAATAAAGTATGTTGTAAGCTAATCAAATGAGAGGACTGTTTGGTGCTAGAACCATAATTGGTTTTGTTTCTATGTTCACCATGTCAATTTTTCATGGGGTACATGTTTGGCATAATTTTTTTTGTTTGCAAAGCTCAGGGCCGCAAAAGCATGGCTTCAACCAAGGCAGGATGTTGAACTCACTGAGTTACATGGGCTTTGGAGGAAGAAATGGGAGGGAAGGTGCAAAGTGCAAACAATGAACCCAATCCATCATCTGTCAGGCACATAATGGGTGTGCTGAAAAATTACTAATCCGGCATGGTTTATTGCCTGACTGGCTTGTTATGTTGCATGAATTCAGCCTTGTGCATGCCTCCACAACCACCTGTGGACTATATGAGAACGTATCTTAACAAACCACATACGTGCAGAATTCATGAATTAACTAAATGCACTGTTTGTTGTTAGTTGTGTAATCCAGTGTTTCCCCATGTTAAATGTCAAAGTTCAGTGAACTTTGGAGAAGTTCGGTTGCAGGAATATGGCCAATCTAGAATTAGATCACAACCCTTGGTCACTTACATATAGGTAAGAATGGAAACTGCTGAGGAACTCTTTTGGAGAGTGGAGATATGATACTAATTACGACATGAATTGGCTCTCCAAGTCCCATTGAAGTTGCCCCCTACCTAGTGCTAATCTTATTACTGGCACTGTAGGAAATGACAATTTTATATACTAAGGCTAATCTTGTCTCTTCAGAAGGATGCCTGCCCTTATAACCTTAGTAACCCTTATAGCCCTTATAAATCTTTAAAGACTCATGCAACTTATTCCGAGAAAGTAGTAGGCACCTTGTAAACCTCCAAGTGATGTTGAACTGCAGCTCCTGACATGCCACACAATTGTCTGTGCTGCCTGGGGCTGATGGGGGTTGCAGGCTAGCAACCTGTGGAGGGTCACAGGTTGCTCACCCTGAAGGAATGCTTCTTAAAAAGTTGCTGCCTTTGCCACATAGCAAACCATACTTTAAAAAATGTGTAGAATTTTCAGTGCAAAGAGTGTGGTGGGTATCTGGTCTAAGGAAAAAAATACATTAGCAGCAGCCAGACTAATATAACCCTAATATAAAACAGCTTCTGTCTGATTTACTATCTCATCACCATCACAAAATGTTTGAATTAAATTGGTTTGAATCTCTTCAAAGCCTGTAATTCTCAAAGCAAGAGTAGGAAATTGTGTTTCTGTTGAGGGCTGTACTCCTTTGCACTCACCAAGGACTGCAATTTTGACTGGTGTTGGAACCAAAAGTGGCAAGGGGGATGGTCCCCTTCCCTTTGTCCACCCTACAGAGCGGGTGACTGGGGAAAAGGCAGATTGCTCTTGCTGGAGAGCTATCCAGATTCCTTGCAGAGGTGTTTTCAAAAGAGGCTGAGGGTCAGAGATTGCCAATCCCTGCCCTAAATAAATCTAGTCACTAGCTGGGGGAAAGGCAGATAACAGATTGCCTCTTTAGTCTGAAGATCTGATTCAGACTTTGATTGTGAGAGCTTTGATTGTGTTTCAGACTTCAATAGAAGTAAACAAAAAATCATTTCTGAAGAAGCCTTTAGAGTCCTCTGTTGAGTTATGGGCTATTGAGCAGTAGATTTTGAGAAATGACCTAAGTGGGTTTTCTGGGTTTTTTATCTGCAAAGTTCTACCCTAAGAAGCAGCTTTGGAAAGAAGGCTCACCAAAGAAGGGCAGAACTGTATGATAAATCCAAGACAGGTTTATTTGTGAGAAGAGTGAACACAATGTGATTGGTTGTTCTTACAATGTGGTAACCTGCTCTTTGTCCAATTGAACTTAGCAGTTTACAATTGCTTCCCAGGAGGTCTATAATTCTGGCTGCTTTATGTGTCAAATTACCTTGCTGCTTCATCGTGGCCTCTGTGCATCACACATACGGGTGCTGTGCCTGCACAGTGCCTAGGCCAGAAAGATTGAAAGCTAACGGTTTTGGTGGGAAAACTCCGCTCCCCTCCCCCTCGGTAGTATATATAGAGCGGGGTGTCTGCCATTTTCTCCAGTCTCCAGGCTGTGCCTCGTGCCTGACTCTCACTCGACTCAGTATTTGTTCTTTATTCTTATTGTTCTAATACTCTTCGTTGTTGTTATTCCAAGTTATTATTCCCTTGTTATACTTTTCCTCTTTCTTCGTTCTTACCTATAAATATATATATATATATATATTATCTTTCCCTCTCTCCTATATTTTATTTCTTCCTTTTCTGAGATGGTGCAGCGGGCGGCCTTCTGCAAATGTGCGGAATGAGGGTCCAAGATGTCCCCGGCGGACCCTCATGACTTGTGCCTCCTTTGCCTCGGTGAGGGGCGCAGGACGGATAAATGCCGCCATTGCCTTGCTTTTACTAAGCAAGAGCGAAAAAATAGGGAGAATCGCTTGTGAAGGCTCATATGGGACCAAGTGCTGATGCAGTCGGATCAGCCTGCAGCAAAGCCCGGGCCGGCACATGCTCCACCTGCCAAGCGCAAGGTCGTACCTGGACTGCTTCGGGCCAATGCCCAGCCTCTGTCTCAGGCATGCCCGGACAACGCCCTTCGTCCACGCTGCCCATGCCTCAGCCGCAGCCATCAGATGATGGAAATTCCCCCTCCAGGGCTCAACAATCTCTCTCTCCCCCGCGTAAACAGCAGGAGAAGAGGAAGCACGGAGGGTTGGATCACTCTTCTGCCCACAAAAAGGCAAAGAAAGACAAAGCGGCTAAACCGCCCCATAAGAAGAGGCATAGGGATTCGGGCTCAACAGCACCATCGATCCTGACGACAGCTTTGGTACCAACACCATCGGTACCGATGCTTCAGGCGGCCATGCAGGTTACCCCACCGGGGTCTCCAACCTGCCCCTCAACAGGGTCTACCTATTGAGTTGCCCGAGGAACTGCATTGTGAGTCTATCTCTGATGGGGAGATTCAAGTCTCTCCTCCCAGGGCTCGGTCTCTGACCCAGATGCCTCCAGCGAGAGCTCGGGACCCATCTCCAGCTTCTCCACCACCACCTCGGTCCCGGATGGGCGAAAGGCGAGAGGAAGGATGGTTCCAGCCCTACTATAGTTATCCATTGGGCTGGGAAGATTACCACTCCTTTGGATTTCGTCCTCAGCCACGGGACCGTTCCTCACTCTCCGCTCATGAGGACATGCCATCCACCTCGAGACATGTGGAACCTGAACATCCTACTTCACCAGGGACTTCCTCGTCGGAGCCGTACCACCTCGGGCCCGACTCTGACTCAGATGCAGACTCCACTTCTCCTGATGTTCTTAAAACATCTCAGGGGCCATCGTCACCTGAAGAGCCCCACATCTCGTTTGGAGAGCTCATGTCTAGACTTGTTCGGTCGCTCGAGATCGAGGCGCAACACCAGCCAGATCCAAGCACCGACAAGTTCTATGACATTGTCAGGGGAGAGCAATCACCTGCAATTGTCCTGCCGCTTATTACAACTTTGTGGCAGGCGATGACTCAACCTTGGGACTTGCCATCGCAGACTCAGCCCACAGTGGGAAGATACGAATCCATGTATCGGGTCCGGGAGAGCAATATACCCTTCTTGCTTCATCCCAAGCCAAATTCCGTGGTGGTTGAATCGTCCCAGGGCAGGGAAGCCAGGGGACATACCACCCCCTGGGATAAAGAAGGCCGTAAGATTGATACCTTGGCACACAGGGTCTACACGGCTGCAGGACTTGGTCTTCGTACATCTAATTACGAAGCCACCCTGGCCAGGTATCAATTCTTTATTATGCAGAGGCTGAATAACATCGTCACCCCCCTGCCTGAACAACAACGGGATTTGGCTAGGACCTTCATCAAGGAGGGTATGCAGGTCACTATACAGCAACTATCCACAGCCTGTCACCATGTGGATATGGATTCGAGGGCTCTTGTTGGGGCCATCTCACTGCGAAGGCATGCCTCGTTGAGGAATTGCAACTTCCCTGACAAGATGAAGCGGTGAATAGAGGAAATGCCCTTTGATGGCTCTTGGCTTTTTCATTCGCGGACGGACCATAAGCTCAAGTCCATCCATGGATCCCGCATGACAGCAAGACGGATGGAATTGCCAGGACAGCAAAAACCTAAGTGGACATGGTTGTGTCCATCCTACCGCTACCAGCCTCCGTAGAGACAGTATCAACAATGTCCTCAAAGCAGAAGACAACAACCCGACCAGTGTTTCCCACAGAGCTGTCGTTGTTTCGACATGAAAAAGCGCCAATGCTGATGGGACGGGTGAACCTCTCCTCCACCTCCACACCCACCTTTCCCCCTCCCTTTTGGGGAACGGGTGCAAGGCCGACTCCCCATTTGGGAGTCCATCACATCTGATCAGTGGGCCTTGTCTGTCATCCAGCTCGGATACAGAATAGAATTCGATACCATTCCTTCGTTGAGCCCGATTCGATTTACACCGCATTCCCCGGTATTAGTCGACGAAGTACACCATTTGCTTCGTAATGGCGCGATTCGACGGATTTCTAGCTCCGATGGGCTGCACGGATTCTATTCTAGAAATTTTATGGTCCCAAAATGGGATGGTGGTCTTCGTCCAATCTTGGACCTCCGAAATATCAACAGATTTATCAAACCAAAGAAATTTCGGATGACTACCCTTCAAAATATCCTTCCGCTGCTGAGGAGAGAGGATTGGTTTGCCTCACTGGATCTGAAAGATGCCTACTTCCATATTTTAATCCATCCAAGCCATAGGCGTCTTCTGTGTTTCACTGTCGGGACTGACATATACGAATTCAATGTCCTCCCGTTTGGTTTGGCCATGGCCCCGAGGGTCTTCATGAAATGTATGGTGCTAATGTGTGCACATTTAAGGCTTCAAGGCATCCAAGTGTATCCTTACCTGGATGAGTGGCTTATAGTTTCACAGACCCACGAAAGTCTCCTGTCAGCTGTTGAGGTGACTTGTGCACTGTTGGACAATCTAGGACTCTGTTTTTACCGTGAAAAATTATCCCTTGTCCCTATGCAGGTGATAGATTTCATCGGAGCTCGTCTCAATTCCACGGTAGCGCGGGCGTTCCTCCCCCCGGCTCATCAGGACAGTCTCCGCGTCTGTATCTCTCGGATCCGACAGAACAACGTTGTCCCAGCGCTCTCAATCCAGAGACTTTTGGGTCACATGGCTGCCACCGTCGCCATTGTCCCAAACGCCAGGTTGAAGCTCCAGCCTCTTCAACTCTGGTTCAACAAGAACTTTCGTCCACAGCGAGATTTGCCCAACAAACCGCTTCAAATGCCCCACACTGTCATACAAACATTGACTTGGTGGACTGTCCCAAGCAATTTAAATGTGGGTACTTCGTTCATAACCCCTCACCCAACACTGACTATATACCGATGCTTCGCTGATCGGGTGGGGTGCGGTATGCGCATGACTTCGATCCCAGGGCATGTGGAACTGACAGGAGTCATTGAGTCACATCAGTTACCTCGAGCTCCTAGTGATCTTCAAGGCACTTCAGTCCTTCGAGGAAACTGTCTGCCAGCAAGTGATACAGATTACGTCTGACAGTATAGTGGCGATATTCTATATCAACAAACAGGGCGGAACAAAGTCCACTGCCGTGGCCCGCCTGTCTATGGACATTTGGGAATGGTGCATCCCAAGGGGTATAACCCTCCATCTTGCTGGGACTGACAATGAGGAAGCAGACACTCTGAGCAGACACATGTCGTTCATCCATGAATGGGAATTATCAGGTCTGCACACAGTTATTCCAACTTTGGGGACATTCGGACATAGACCTATTTGCTACCCACAAGAAGAGGGTGTGCAAAAGATTCTGCTCCAGAGCGGGAATAGGACCGGAATCGATGGGAGACGCCCTTACGATTCCCTGGACAAACCTCAGAATTTACACGTTCCCGCCTATTCCTCTACTGACAAAGGTTGTATCGAAGATTGTACACAACAATGCCACAGGAATACTGATAACACCTTGGTGGCCTCGTCAAGCGTGGTTCTCCTCTGGATCTCGAACGTCACCTTCCTTCGTCTTCCATCCAGACAAGATCTGTTAACTCAACAAACCCAGACCTGCCCTCATTGAACCTCACAGCATGGAGAATTCGTTGACTCAGGACACTACTTTGGGACCGAGATCTACTAGGTCACTCGATACCTCAACTCACGACAAATCAGACCTCCTCACTGACTCGGTACCGAGGGAGGTATCGTCGAGACCGAGCTCTTTAGACCCACACATTCTAAGGATTCTCGAGTCTGCACTAAGACCATCAATTTGGAAGTCTTATGTGGCGAAGTGGCATCGCTTCTCATCTTTCGTAGAATCACGTTCGTTTAGTCCAATGACAGCTTTGGTGGAGAATATTCTTCAGCTTCTGCTGCAGCTACATTGTTCGGGACTTAAACCTTCCTCAGTTAAGGTCTATGTAGCTGCCGTGTCACATTTTCGTGGTACGGTACAAGGATCGTCGGTATTTTCACAACCACTTATAAGGAAATTTCTGAAAGGACTGCAATATCTTCATCCTTGTATTTGGCCTGTCATGCCCACATGGAGTCTTTCAGTCGTTCTTCAGGCACTTACAAGACCACTATTTGAGCCCCTAGCGACTGTCGATATGCATCTCGTATCATGGAAGACGGCCTTTCTTGTTGCAGTTACATCAGCTCGTAGGGCCAGTGAACTTTGTGCTCTTCGAATTGATCCACCTTATCTTAACTTTCATAAAGAGAAGGTGGTTCTGAGGATGGATCCTTCTTTTTTACCTAAAGTTGCAGCGCCATTCCATCTGAATCAAGAGATTGTGTTGCCTGCCTTCTTTCCGTCACCGTCGAACCCGATCGAAAGGTCGTTGCATATCTTGGATGTACTATGCTGCTTGGCCTTTTACAGATCATGCACAGAGTCTCTTAGAC